GCCTCTTTCCAGGCAAAATCCAATTTCCCTCCCAAAGTGGTGTCAAACTGTGCCAATGCCAACTGTTGACATCGCTTGGTAATGTTCATTCCAATAATTCCCTGAAGAGATTGGCCAGCCTCATCTGTGCTATCTTGGATTATTAGGAATCCACACTCAGGGATCATGATCCCCATTGCTTGCACATCCAACTCTACATAACCTAAATAGGGGAGAGGCAAGTTATTTGCTGCGGTTAGTTTAAGCCATTTAGCAGTACAGTGCATATCCTCATCTCCTCCATTAAGAAAATTTCTGAAAAAACTTTCTGTGAGGGTGCTTACATTGCTTCCGGAGTCCAGTATGCATCATAAGGGGACTCCACCTATCTGTATGTCTACTTCAGGGCACTTGCCTACCGCCCTCTCTATAAAATGTTCTCTCGTCAACAAATTACCTGAGCCTTCACTCCGACCGCTCACTGCCCGGCTCACAACAGTGGAGGATTTCCGTTTCCCTGGACTGGCGGCCTGGGCACAGTAGGACGTTGATATGAGGGTTTGCGTGCCACCGGACATTGCCTAGCAATATGTCCAACACCTTCACATCGCAGACAAATTGGTTGGCCGTCACTCGTGTACTTGGGTTGAACTTTAGGTCTACCATTGTTCATGGTGAGTCCACAGACTGCATTTGTCAATTCACTAATAGCCTTTCCCTGTTGGGCAATTATTTTAACTACTTCCTGCAGGGTCACGGATAAGTCAGTTTGGACTTCAGTGGTCGTGTCTCTCTTCTCTAAAGTCATATCCTTGTGGACACTAACCAGGTTTCTGTTCTTTGCCACACTAGTGTGGCGTGGTTGGTCTTCAAGGGCCCACATCATTGCCTCATTTCTCACATCGAATAGACTACTTTCCGGTCTCTCTCTGAGCAGCCTACGCAGTTCACGCCTCAAGGTGGAGTCTCGCACTCCCTCAACGAACTGATCTCTCAGTTATCTGAGCATCAGATACCACATTAGGCGACTGTTGGAGGGCTGAATTGAGCAGCTGAGAGAGAGCATGTGAAAATTCGCGCAGTTCTTCTCCATCAAGTTGTCTGCGAGCATAAAAAGCGTGTAGGAGTTGTGGTACAGTACGTTTTTCTCGAAAGGCTTCACGCAAACAAGAAAACACATCACTGGGCTTTTTAGGTTGCCCTCGCATGCACAGTTTAACCTCCTCTAGGGCTGAACCTTTTAACAGTGAAAGAATGAAGTCTACTTGGTCTTCCTCCTGTAGACCTCTCGTTCTTATTGCCCGTTCTACTTCCTCTATAAACTCGTCAACATTGTCAACATCTTTCCCAATCTCACCAGAAAAAGGTACAATGTGTTTTTCCCTTGGGATGTAAACAATTGATCTTGGCTGAACATTACCCAAATTTGCAAGGCTTGACATGACAGCCTCCTGTTTTCGATTGAATTCTCTAATTTGTGACTGTAATGCGGTCACGCAGTTACCTTCATCAGACAAATGTAAGGAACTTGGGTCATCCTCGCTGTGGGTTCCGGCCAGCATGGCAGCTGCTTGCATGTCATCCTCGGACATTTTCAGGTCTCCGTTGTAATGTATTTAACGCAGCAAAGCGCAACAGTCACAAAAAGTTAATCCGTTTCTCTTCTGGCCGCTTTGAAGACTCGCGTCCAGTGATGCGTGTCGATGCGCAGCTGTTCCACATTCAGCCACACGAACTACAGGTCGGACAGGAAGGCCTTACTCCATCGACACTCCGCACTATGGCATGAGGACTGCTTCGCTTCTCGCCACTACTGTTGTCTATTATACTTGGACTCACACTATCCACTACAATCTCAGAATTTAATGGGGAATCCCACTTCTGACACCAAAATTGTGTAGCCGGGTCTTTGGAAAGACTAGACTGAACACAAAGTAAATTTTATGTCGGCTTTATTCCCGACTGGACAATGAAAAATTGTACAGCATTAAGAGGAAAGACTGAGATGGTAACTGAATTTTAAAAGAGTTCGAAAGGGATCTAAGAGATCAAAGAAGAGTATCTAACAGATTAAAGACAATTACACCATAATAGACAACAGCAGTGGCTTGCTTAATAGAGAAACAGAAATAAAAACACATTAATAAAAATACATTATTTCCAAGCCACAATACTTCATTAAACTTAAGTGCAGAACAAATAATCATTGCAACCCAACGTTTTAAGATGCAGACACACTTACTCGAGACTTCCCGGTGTGTTGGATGCATACAAAGAACGTGGAAAAACACAAATGATCTCCCCTCTACAGAACAGATAACACAGTTCATATAATTTCACAGTCCAAAAAAACATATTTACATTTTGTAACGTTGCGAACACTTACGCTGTACAGCTGTTCACACGACTCGCTAGTGGTAGATTTCAAGCTCCAAACCACGATATTGTGCTCTACAAATACCATTCAAATAATTAATCATCGGTCCAAAATTAACACCTAACATGCGTCATGGTAAACTAGTTACCAATTACCTGAATATCGCCAGGGTTACAATGACGAGTTGGGTGTATCAAATTGGGACAACCAGTAGGCACAGTTCAGCGATGACTCTCCTTCAAGTGCAGGTCATCCTCACTTTACTTCCTGGTCTGATTGTCACGCGCTCTATATGTTCCCACGTGTTTTGATCTAGCGTGGCTCTTAAAGTGACAGTGCTACATTTGAACCAAGGCAGCCTTCACTACAATTGTCTAAGTAAGGTTCACCTGGTTACATTAAGGTTCACCTGGTTACACAAAGACAGTACAAAATTACACTTTGATGAAAGTGACAGACTCTATTATTTACCCATAGTAAATAATGCCGTGCATTCATCCATCCATTTTCAACACCGCTGATCCTGAACATGGTGGCTGGAGTCTATTCTAGCTGACTGCGGCCGGAAAGCGAACTACACCCTGAAATTGTCGCCAGTCAATCGCAGAGACAAACAAGCATTCAAATCCACATCCACACTGTCACTGAGGAGGAACCGATTCCATGCTGCCCGCGCACAAGTCAGTCACTACACCGGGGTCGGCAACCCAAAATGTTGAAAGAGCCATATAGGACAAAAAAAAACCAAAAAAACAAATATGTCTGGAGCCGCAAAAAAACAAAAGCCTTCTATAAAACTTAGAATGAAGGAAACACATGCTGCATGTATGTAGGAGACTAGACTGTTTCAGTGTGTGTTCACTGTTCACAAACACATAGCATTTATTTTGCGATTTCCTCGCTTGATTTTCTGTTTTGGTGCATTATTTTCGCCAGCCAATCACAGAGCTATATTAGCCTACTATCAAAATGACTAAGTTTGCTACGATTACACAATGAGCCTTCATGATTAATTTTTTTTTTCTGTCCGGTGCATTCTGTAGAGCAGAGGTGCCCAACCTTTTTTGACCGAAGATCTACTTTTCGTTTAACCAATCTACCGTGATCGATCTGCGCATACACAACACGATCGATCTGCGCATAGACAACACACTTACAGACGCATGCCTACCTACCTTCGTCGAGATCTGACGCGGATGCACTTTTGCAGCATTTTTTATTATCGTAGCTCACATGTACCGTTGTAACCCTTGTGCTGCAATTTCTACGATGTTTGTAACACATGGGTTACCCCATATGTTACAATTTCTACAATTTTTGTAGATTTTTGCGTATTGTCATCTTTAAATCAAAGACACAGCATAAAAAGTGTGTGATATGAAATATTCCAATTCATGTTTTATTTATATAGATTTATATTTATGTTTTGGTCATAGCACAATACCGCTTTTATTGTCCATAGAGGGCAAAAATACAAAGAAAAAAATAAGAACTATATGTGTATGTATAGCACTGATGCCACTGAACATGTCGAGTGGTTGAAAGTGAAATAAGTATTCAGGAATAATACTTTTACAATTTTTGTAAAATTGTATGTTGCGTTATATAAACTTATTTAGATCGACTGCAGCACATGGGTTTTAAAAATGCTTTTCACGGCCCTCCAGATTCTCTTTGCCAGTACCCTCGGTGAATTGTACATGAAACGGCGTTTCATGGTCCTAAAATTGTTAACACTTCTTTAGCAAGTTTGCCAGGAAACGGGTCGAGCCAGCAAGTTGTCTGTTTTGCCTCACTGACAAGTTGTCTCAGTGTTTCAAGGGATGATTTTTCTGATCATGCCAAAGTCAAGCCGTTTTCGGGGTATTGTTGTTGTTCCTTCTCTGCCATTTTTCCCTTGAATCATATCATCCTTTTCAGAATCTGCGCTAAAGGTTTGGAGCAAATCTGTCTTCCCATTTTGTGTACTGCCATTTCAGAAACAGCCCTGGAATTTTGTTCAGTTGTCCAAAATTCTAATTCATGTTCAACGTTTTATTCCAGAATTTAACCAACCCTCTCTGTATGTATTGGTAGTGCTCGTTAATTCTGTCTATTTCTTCAAGGGAATGGGTGAGATCACAGTAGCCTTGTCAAATCCCAGCTTTTCAAATCAAAGTTGTGCAAAAAAACCCACAACTTTGATTTATTGATTTTTGGTGCTAAAACACTAGGTTAAGTTTTTTGCTGAGTTATTTTTTAACTTCTGTCTTTCAGTTGGAGGACAAAAAAAGGATATTTAGTTCTATAAACGAATTTCTTTGTTGTGAAATATGGGAAAGTCAATTTTCACAACAGCAAAACTTGCCCAATTTCAAATTTTATGTTTGTTGCCTTAAATTTTGAGTTCACCTAACTTTTGTTACAGTGTTGTTGCACATAGTCACGCTCAATTTCTAATCTTATTCAAAGTTTTAAGGATTACCGGTATTTCTCTCATGTTATATTTCTTTTCTCAGTGAATGCAGGAAGCCAAATTTAGCTGGGAGTAAAAATTCCTAGTTTTTGTTTGTGCAGTTCTCTTATCATTTTTTTTTGTATCATTTCTGCACTGTCTAGTTTACACTTAGCTCCAGCACTTTTGTCTCTTTACTTTGTGATCTAGTGGGCCACCACATGTTGACAGCAAGCCAACCAGAGCCAGTCAACATCAGGACCACTTCTCATACCTTGTCCCCCAAGCAGGCAGAGCGAATTCTCACACGAAGCTCCTCCTACCGGGAGCCTTCTCAAACCAATGTGAAGCTCGCCAGTGCTAATTTGGAGATGATCATTCCCCCCAGTCCTATGAAGAATTGTAATAAAAGCTTCAGCAGCAGCACATTGCCAAGGTAACCACTAAATCATGGTTCAACCTTTTTTTTTTTAACTGTTTTACTGCTGAGCTACTCCTGCTGCTCTATCGTGCGTTTGAATGTGCCATGACTCCATCAACACATTCAATTCATTCCTGTCTGAGTGCACTGAACAAAGAATACAATAGCTATCATTCGGTTCATGTTTTTCATTCCAATTGTTTTCAAATATTAGTTTGGTCATTTCAAGTGACCTTTCCAGTTTATATTTATGGTTACATGCATTTTCTTCACATTAATGTTATGTAATTTTACAGCAAGGAACCAGGTGTAAATGTTTCACTTGGACCCAAGGATTTTTTTTAGATTGGGTGTGGTTTTGCACATAGGCAATGTTTGAAACTTCCAGCGAAAAATTTGCGAACTGCCGCCATTACGGATTTGGATGCGGGGGTCGACAGACGTTGAAATCGGTAAGAAAAATTCATCAACTTTGCATTTTGATAACTTTACGGTTACTTTAAAATTATTGTCGTTTTTAATCATGCATATCATTTTTAGCTCTTGAATCTTGAGACAAGGTTGTCCGATCATGGTGAGAGCAAGCAGCGACACAGTACCTGGACTTGCGACTTGTTACCAAACAAGTGCTTTGTGAAGTGTTTTATTTTAGGTTATTATTTTGTTCTTAACCTCCATCATTAGTCTTCATACTATAATCCTACTCTGTGTCTGCCGTGTATCCTGTTAAACTACAGAGACTTTTCGTTTTTTTTCCTCCAAGGTCCATATTCAACTCTTCTTTCTTCTAGCTTTCGAAGTATGAATTACATGATTGCTTTTTTTGTGCATTTGCAGGAAAATGAGCCAGTATGCAGGAAAATGAGGTTGACAAATTGGAGCGTGGAACCACCTGTGTCAATGGAAGAGAGGATCCTTTGCACCTACCCAAAGACAAAGATAGTTATTGATGCAACACTTGCGTCCTGAACAAGTTTATCTTATTGTTTAAAATAAAATGGTAAGCAATTTGGGCTGAAAAAGTTCACTGAACTAGAAAAGAGTTAAGGTTTAGTTTATTTTTTTTCCGACCAAAGTTTTATTTTTTTTTTCCAGTAAAGAGAAAAAGTCTCTTACTGCCTAAAAACAGCTGGAAGATCACACGAGGAAGCACTTACAGCTCTGAATGTAGGTGGCAATGACAGCCAAAACTGTCAGCAAAGTACAAGATTTTTCTCTTTCCTGGAAAAAAAAACATTCGTCAAAAAAAAACAAACCAAAAAAAAAAAACTTTGAACCTATTAAAAACACACACACACAGACACACACACAGACACACACACACACACACACACACACACACACACACACACACACACACACAAAATGAACCCCATAGCACAAATAAAAGGGTTTATTCAGGAATTTATTTGAGATATTAAGTCAGCCCCAAATATGAATGCTTTGAAGTCCAGGTTAAAAATGATGCTTGTATTTCCCTGCTTATGATTTAGCTCTTTTAAAGCATATTTTAAAAATAAAATTTAAAAAATTGCTTGCCATGTATATTCTTAAAATGATTTTAGTAAGCTATCTTTTATTTCTGTACTTTGTTTTAAATATCTTTAGTTCTTTTGTTTTAAATATGATACTTGTTATTATGTGCTGTATAAATAAATGTTCCTGGCCCTTGCCTTGCCAGTTATTCCAAATTGATTTAAAGTATTTGTTTTAAATTCAGCATTGTGGCAATTTTAAATCTTTGAGACAAATTAAAAAAGAAACTTGAACTTGAAATTTGAAGAAAGTGCCGTGCAGGGGCTGGGGACAATGGGGTGGCTTCTCCGAGAAACCACCAGAAAGGGGACATTTAAATTGACCAACCAGATCAAAAATCTCCCGTCAAGATCGATAAAAATCAAAAGTAGTCTGCTTGTGTTGACAGTTTGTCTTGTAGAAGGGGCACCTGCTTGGGCTCCTTCCCTGCCAGAGTGGTGACATTCTACGTAGTTTCTTTAGCTGAGAAACAGACCGCCAAATTCCCAGCCTTTTCCCGCCGCTCAGGACACAGGAAGCCCGACACCTTGGCTTCTCCCACAGGTGTTGAGCCTATGGGAAGAGTGACCAACGTTGCTTTTTCGGGCTGAGCCCGGTCAGCCCCCATGGGTGCAGGCCCGGCCACCAGGCGTTCGCCAGCAAGCCCCATCCCCAGGCCTGGCTTCAGAGCGGGGCCCCAGTTACCGGAGTCTGGGCAAGGGAAATCGTGGACCAATAATTTTACTCATGGTATCAGTCCTCTAATTTTTACTCCTAATTTTACTCCCAGAATCATTGGGAAACCATGCTAAGGCGTGGAGGTGAGCCCGAGTATATATAGTCGAAACTTCTCATGGGGGGAATCAAGGAAGTAATGAAGTAAAAATATCATACAAAGTTAGACAAATTTGGTTCAAGGACGAATTTTCAAGAGGAATCAAAAATGGACTATAAAACGATGTCTACATTATCAACATTGTATTGATATGCAACCCTTCGTTAGAAATTAGCTGTCATTATTGCAAAAAGTACTGAAACAACTGAACAGTTGCACATGTGCATTTAAAAGTTTAGAGAAGGCTAAAATAGTCACCTGTAAAGGTCATACTATATCGCACAGGTGCCCAACTGTTTTTGACCTGAGATCAACTTTTCAAGCAGCCAATCTCCAGCGATTAACCCGTTACCGAAGATGCATGCACACACACACACACACACACACACACACACACATGCAGACACGCAATGCCATGATGAGCAACAGCTATCACGGATCATAACATGGACGAAACAGAAAACTAAACTAGATACAAGACAAGACTGAGTGTGTGAAGAGGAAATCACTGCTTACCTTATGGGGGCCCTGACACGGAGGCAAGGATGTACTTTTGCAGCATGTTAAGTGCAGAAACATCACAATCGTTGCTCGCTTGTACCGTTAGAAAATGCTTCTCCTGGCGCTAGAGATTTCCATTCTTCGACAATGCCAGTGGTGAATTGCAGATCACACAAACTTTGAATGAGAATTAAAAAAAAATGGTGTATGAGGGTCATTCAATAAATAAGATGAATTTCTTGGTATACAGACTTCTAATACAGATAGAAGTTTACTTTTTTTTTTCAACGCAGTCTCCAAGCACTGTCACACACTTTTCCCATCTCTGCACAAGCTTCCCATATTCCCTCAGCGTACAAATCTTTGGACTGATCTCTCAGCAGCCAGTCGCTCACAACACTTTTGACTTCATCCTCACTTTCAGACTTCATGGCTAACAAGTTAGGTGGAGAAGTAATATCAGCCTAAGTTTAGATCGGTGAATTGAATTCATGACACACATTGTATCAAAATGCTCCCATCTTGACATAAAAGGGCTGGACAATCATCACAATAGGATCGACTCACTCCACATCATCGCTCGACATTACTAAATAATTTGTCATAAAATGTCTACATTATCAACATTGTATTGTTTGACTCAATTTACATGGCTTGTTCAGCCTGCTCAGTATCTAATAGCTCGTGTGTGCACAATAGTAAATGATGCATTCAGGATCATCTTGGAAATGTATGAAACAATCTGTTATAAAATTTAATAGTTTTACTGGCTCTAGTAGTGTGTGTATATGAATAAATTTGTAGGGCAGTATATCGAGTTGCAACTCCCTGATTTGCTTGCTTCCCTCCCCGCTCTCATTTTAACACTCGCTATGTCAAATGTTGTATTAACTGTCTTAATTCTTCAATAAGTTTTATTGTCCACCAATTTTGGCTGAGTTGCATAACATTTGTGTTTGAAAGAACGCAAACAGGCTTTCACACACAAGGCACAAGCAAAAAAAGCAAAACACACTTTAGGCCTCAAGGGGAAAAAGCGAGAGCCCCCGAGGCCCTTCTTGGTGTGCTGCTGTAGTGTAAAATATTTTGTTTTAAAATGGAGCATTCATTACCGACAGTGGCGGGCCGTGCATTTCAACCTTAGGCCTTCAGTGATGTCACATACATGAACACAATACTGTATAGGCTCGTCAAGCAGCACTTAATTTCAGGAGCATTTCA